GAACTTCATAGATAAAACATTGGTACTCTCAAGTGCATCAACACTTGGGGACAGCGTCATCAACCAAGTGATGGGCCTATATAAGACTGGTTTACCCACGACATTGACAGCTTCTTTAGTCAAATGTTACTGGTGGTGGCATTTGCGTTTCAGTATCATGCCTACCCATACGCTCTAATAGACACACCAGGCCTTTTTATTTTGCACACTATATTGATAACCTCAGGTCCACATCGACTAGTCACATCACCTCTTAGTGTGCCGATATTCGTCGCCATCTCTATGGCTGTCTGCACCATACTAAGGTACACAATACCCCAATACGCTACTTTTTACAAAGTTTTTGACGTCTTCATGCAATTGGCCCAGTCTCCATAAGCCTTGGGGCCTTTTGCCGACTTATCTGCTTTCTCTAAGCTTCGTCGGCGACATACTGTTGCTGAATTCACTGACCACTATATTGCCCCCATAAGTGATTCACTCCCTAAATATCACCTATTATTTTTTCTTACAAGGATTCATCTTTTTAATCTCTCGTCCAATCACTTTGTTCATATTTAGCATCCCGTTTTGTCTCGTATGCTTGCGTGGCTGCACCTCTTCTCGTTATATTTAGCTTTTGAGGCAGTTGAGGTAAAAAGTTATAGGCCCTCATCTACTTCAGTTTTTGTCGTCAGGGCTTATGCATAGCCCAAGGGTTCTGTACATGTGATTTATTTTATCGTTTTTTTGAATGCAACAAGCGATGAGTACCCCCACGTATTAATATTGCTCACACTTTTGTAGCCCAGTGCATGAACCAATCTTATCGTAAACTGCCCTCCTAGAATCGCCTAAGCCCAAGTGGATGGCTCTTTATCGGTCTATTGGTCATAAAATATCTCATCGCCACAAGAATTCCTGTCCTCTCTTAGGATGGAGCATTCAACCATCAGATTGATATTGACGAGACCCAGTTCCCTCATCATGACCTTAATTGGTGCAGGTCTTCACAGTTTGTACACTACATTTCCAGACAAGTCAAAGAGGATACTGCCTAAAGCATCTTCAGGTTTATTTTAGGCACATGCATCCATCTGAGCCGAAGGGTGGATATCTGACTATCGCCTGGCTTGCACAAAGATGCTATAATAGACCTTCAACAAATTTTTGGTAAGGTTGTGGTGTGATTCAAACCTGACAAGATTATCTATAACGGCGCTATAATGGACTGTTGCTCTTATTGTGGCACATAGCTAGGCTATTTTTACTTTAATTTTATGAGGTCATGCAACCATGCCGATCCCACATGGCATGGATTTAGCCCTGCCTTATTCGGTCAGCCTATGGAATTGCTTTCGTCATGCACATTTTGTTGCATTGGAGATCGGAGGTTAATGAGCCTAACTAATCTGATGTCTTCCCTTGTAACCCCAATGTAGTAGCAAAAAGTTTGGGCCCTATACAAGATCATTTGGTGGGTGCATCTTAATTAGTGGCTCTGAACCTCCGATCTGCATTTGTTAGCTCGTGGTCTCGCCTTATGAACATGAGCACAAGGGACGAACTTGCTGCTTTCAAACGGCATCTACGCGATCCCGGATGGCCAGAAATTTAGGCTCGAGGACACCGATGTTACGAGAATTTCGATTTAGAATGCAAAGTTGATCAGAAGGGATGAGTAGATAAGTCCTGCAGCTACGATTGATCTGTGCTGAGCTTTCTTATGTCTAACCGAGGCAGACATCATACGGGCAATAAATTGTAACAGTCATCAACACAAAGCCTAGAAAGCTGGCCCGCTGTAACGACACA